AAAAAATAAAACCAAAATTCAAATCAATTAAACCCTCAATCAATTGAATACCGGCTTCGATGACAAAGAAGACACAGGGCTCTCGTTGCCTACCGGCGCTATTCTGCGCCCAACAGTACAGCCGCCCGTAATCCAAGTCCACTCGTGGGGTATAAGTGGCGTAACTCTTCTTGCCTTCGCTCACGAATGAGATGACATCGAGATTCTCGTCGGCGCTGTTATTGAAGGCCCAGTGGAAGACGAGTTCGTGGGGGTCTGCGTCCACCTCGCACTCGATCCTCGCCTCCTCGTGTTTGGCCACTCCGTAGTGCACTCTCTGAACGGATTTGCAAATCGGCGGATCTGTGAGACGTCCAGTGAATAGATTAGTGGCAAATGGATTGTGCAGTGAATTAATGTAATGATTGGTCAGAAATTATATAATAAATATAAATCTCTGTCTGAATGGAGAGAATCAGTGGAAACACTAAATACTGTGTGAGAGTGAGAGTGAAATGTTGGACGCATTCGAGTGAATAAAATGTGAAACAACTGTGATTTGTACGTATATACTGCAGGTCTGAATAATAATAAGGATTTCTTTCGTTTGCCAATAAATCGATACTAAAATACAAATATAAACAATAACTACACAAACAAATGCATAAACATCTACGACAAGATTTGCACAGACAATCAAAATTCTCACATTAAACACAATATACAGAGATTTCTATGTGATTTGATTTTAATATTATAATAAACACATTGACTCTGATGTGTAAAGCCTTTACTCGAAATAAGTGGTTATATCTCATGATGTGTTATATAAGAGTATATACTTTATTTTGAGTGTTATATAAGGCTTTCCATATTTGATGGGAAAGGACTCGGAGTCTCTTCACTAGAGAGCTAAGTGAAGGGCAGGAAAACTAAGACAAAAATATTGCCAAAAGATATTTGGAGTCAATATATATCTGAACTAAAAAACTAGTTTTTATATCTCATATATTAAATGTGTTCAGAATATATTTCAAACACTAGTCTACTTTAATCTAGCGTTTAATCCAAACATACAATTTCAATGCACACACCGATATTGAAGTGTGTGTTTTGGGACTATTTTTCCAACTCATTAAATGAGTACACATTTAGATGAGAGACACACTTATCCTTTATGGGCTACGGGAGTGAATTTGGTGGGGGAACGGGAGGGAAAAGTAAACATATTTCATGGTATAAAAAAGAGTTAACCTTTTTTTGTTTGTTACTTCGGCTGAGGTTTGCTTTTATGGTCTGTTTTCCGGTTGATATAATAGTCGAGGAATTAGTGTTTTCTGATGACAGAAATTAGTGTTTATTTTTTGGTTAATAAGCAAACTATTAGATAATCTCTTTTCTCGCTACATTTGTTGTTTAAACATAGTTATCAGTTATTCTTGGTAAATTATATTGTCTTTACTGATATTTTACTCAGGCTTTCCATATTTGATGGGAAAGGACTCGGAGTCTCTTCACTAGAGAGCTAAGTGAAGGGCAGGAAAACTAAGACAAAAATATTGCCAAAAGATATTTGGAGTCAATATATATCTGAACTAAAAAAAACTAGTTTTTATATCTCATATATTAAATGTGTTCAGAATATATTTCAAACGCTAGTCTACTTTAATCTAGCGTTTAATCCAAACATACAATTTCAATGCACACACAGATATTGAAGTGTGTGTTTTGGGACTATTTTTCCAACTCATTAAATGAGTACACATTTAGATGAGAGACACACTTATCCTTTATGGGCTACGGGAGTGAATTTGATGGGGGAACGGGAGGGAAAAGTAAACATATTTCATGGCATAAAAAAGAGTTAACCTTTTTTTGTTTGTTACTTCGGCTGAGGTTTGCTTTTATGGTCTGTTTTCCGGTTGATATAATAGTCGAGGAATTAGTGTTTATTTTTTGGTTAATAAGCAAACTATTAGATAATCTCTTTTCTCGCTACATTTGTTGTTTAAACATAGTTATCAGTTATTCTTGGTAAATTATATTGTCTTTACTGATATTTTACTCATTATCTAATAAAATGCAATTGTGTTTCACGCAAAAAACGATTTATTGATATATTTTAAAAACCCATTTCTCGTTGACTCCCATCTAAAGCAACAAATTATTTGGACATTAAGTTTGTGTCTATAGTTTAATAGCACAACAAAAAAATCAATGTTTGCCCTAAAGATTACATAAAATGGAAATATATATTAGTATTAGAAATCAATGATTATGGGGGCACCAGTACGTTTTTTCGCTGGTACTGAGCACTTGTCATATATTTTTATCAATAATCTATACATTTCGTGTGCCAATCAATTTAGGTGGTGGTGGAGTTGACCACCGATTTCTTGACACACACTTTGCACTTCACTTATTGCTCACAATTTTTTCATCCGTCTCCTTGACATCGCTTTGAAAAAACTTGATTCCCATATATTATATAACCGTACATTTATAGATATATTTATAGATATATCTATCTATAAGCGAAGTTTTACCACTTTTTCGATTAATATTACACTCGAGTGTAGATCAGAGATAATGTTTTTAGTCTTTTTTGTGCTCATGTGTTGTATTGAGACAAAAATCAACATTTATATGAGAGAAATCTCAACTGTATTTCTGATTTGTATGGCTTCGGAGTTGCCTTTCAGTCAATGATATTCAATACAATACAATACATGAGACAATAATGCGATGGCATATCGATCTCGTTATAGTCGGCACAAAAAAGTAAATAAAAAAGTTTCTCATTAATAACTACACGATCATAAATTTCTATTCAAGCATAAATTAACAAGAATTTAGTTAAATCTATAATCGCGTACAAAAGGGACTTATTTTAAAGTCTTTATATCCGTTGTATTCATGGAGACAAGGCAAATTGATTTTCAATAATATTATTATTAATAACAAGTTTACGAATACATTAATCAGTATGTATTTAAAGCCTATAATAATACAATAATCACATCACAAACAGATATGGGATCTGGGTAATCAATCCCTTATTCATTTAACAAAAGTGTTTTTAAAAATTATTACCGAATAATAAAATAAAAATTTGTTTTATAGATTAAAATTCATTTATTAGTTGTCACTCCAGTCATGAGAATAGGCTCGAAGATTAATGATAAGTGCAAAAATGTTTGACTTATTTGATACCATAATAAATGTTTTATAAAAAATAGTTTTATACAAAAACCGTTTTGCGATATATTTGGCTGATATTCTCACTAATAAACTATAGTTTTGGAAATCCATTGCATACTACGATAGCAAAGTTCATATGATTAATACGATTACATAAATTGTTAATTTTGTGCTTTTACTAAAAATAGGTGTACCCGGAATCAAACTCAAAACTGTTAATATTCATAGGGTCGGAAAAGGTATAATGGCATTGGAAATGAATTTTATTTATATTTTGTGGATTTAAATATTTTATAAATTGAGTCTCAATGTCATCTCAATGCACAACACTTTCTGATAAATAGACTTTGAAATTGCGTGCAAAACCCGATTTGCAGTATATTTTCAGACATAAAATGGTTATAAAATTTCCACATTTGATTGACTCGACTATTATTCGTAATATATTATTGATTTATACTTTTGACAGCTTTTTAGGGAAACGTGGATATGTAATCAATAATTTAGCATAGAAATTGTAGCATATTCATACTAGTATTACTTTCATCAACGTTGCTGTCTATTTGAGTTAGTTTATTAGCATTATAACAAGTATTTAATTTGAATGTATTTTATATTTTATTTTTGTAAGCTAGGAAATAAAGATTTATTTTAAATTTAAGTCAAACTCTCAATCGAAACGTGTAATTAATTTTGTATAAAATGTTTGATTAGATGTCTGTCGACAAGAATTATAGCAAAAACCAAATTAAAGTTAATCTAATTTGAGTGGAGATGTGTCTCTCGTACGGCTTTCCCCATAGGACTCTCATCCCATTTATCGTTTGATTTTCATTAATAAAATTAATCAGAATTATAGCAAAACAATGCATTAGTTTTAGAAAATTAGATACTAGTAATGAGATGTCTGTCCAATCAATGTTTTTGTTTTTCTTTAAAGTCTCTCTCTCTCTCTCTCTTTCCCTTTATATAAAAAGTTTATATAAAAGTAAACAATTATTTTGTTTTATTTTTAAAACCCATCAAAAAATATCTCTACATATGAATCGTGACTTGAAGTCTAGAAATCCAAATAACATATGATTAATGATCGTTCAAAATCCGTTTTACCGCACATTTCCCTCTACTTTCTCATCTATTTTTGAATTCACTTTTCGAGAAAAATGTAGGAATAATAACAAAAATTATTGCCTCTCATTGTGTCATGAGATTTGAATTTTTAGCGCACAATGCGTTTGCGAGAGAAAGTGTTGCCAAAAATAATTATTGTTTATTTTGCTCACAACCATAACAAATGGATTTTATGTTTTACAAATTACTTTCAATGTTTTAGTTTTATTGCAATTTAACGTGAGGTAAGTATTTACTCCAAAAAGCAAAACAAAAAACATAATACCCTGATAAATTATTACAACACTACTCGTGACCACCGGATCACTATCATTAATAAAATTAATCAGAATTATAGCAAAACAATGCATTAGTTTTAGAAAATTAGATACTAGTAATGAGATGTCTGTCCAATCAATGTTTTTGTTTTTCTTTAAAGTCTCTCTCTCTCTCTCTCCTCTCTCTCTTTCCCTTTATATAAAAAGTTTATATAAAAGTAAACAATTATTTTGTTTTATTTTTAAAACCCATCAAAAAATATCTCTACATATGAATCGTGACTTGAAGTCTAGAAATCCAAACAACATATGATTAATGATCGTTCAAAATCCGTTTTACCGCACATTTCCCTCTACTTTCTCATCTATTTTTGAATTTTCGAGAAAAATGTAGGAATAATAACAAGAATTATTGCCTCTCATTGTGTCCTGAGATTTGAATTTTTAGCGCACAATGCGTTTGGGAGAGAAAGTGTTGCCAAAATTTATTATTGTTTATTCTTCTCACAACCATAACAAATGGATTTTATGTTTTAAAAATTACTTTCAATGTTTTAGTTTTATTGCAATTTAACGTGAGGTAAGTATTTACTCCAAAAAGCAAAACAAAAAACATAATACCCTGATAAATTATTACAACACTACTCGTGACCACCGGATCACTACTTTTCTATATATAAATTTTACAAGGATTTGTTGCCTAACTCCCTATCTATTTGTGCAGACTTTCCAGCTTATAGCGCAGTGGTCGGGGGTGTGGTAGCCCTCCCGTGCAACGTGACTCCCCCCTCATATGATGATGGGGTGTCTCTGGTGCTGTGGTATAGGGACGACACGGCTAATCCCATTTACTCGGTCGACGCCCGGACCACGCATTTAGATAACGCCAAACACTTCTCGGCCACAGAAATACTGGGCACGAGAGGGGTGTTTAATATTACATATCCGATGGCATACATGAGGATCAATCCCGTGAAAGCCAACGATGGGGGCGAATACCGGTGTCGAGTAGACTTCCGTCGCGCCCGCACTGTCAATAGGATCCTTAAGCTCAATGTTATAGGTTTGCACTCTTTTACATTTGAGATATGTACTAGGTTTGTTAATTATTAGTTATTTTTTGTTCACAATTTTTCCGTATACTAGTAATATACAAGTTTTCAATATTTAAAATTAGTGTTCATTTACTACAGTATTATAATTGTAAACTGTTTCCATACAGTTCAGTGCACTGCAGTGAAGTAAGAATATGGGGTGAAAAAGGTTACGAATTCTGTATTAAATTGAAAATCAATAATTTTTATAAGCATAATTATTTTATTTATTGTAACTTTACTTACCTTAGTAAATATATAGATAATAAGAATAAATTTATCATTTTACATACTTATAAATTCATGCAATATTTTACGATTAATTTACTGATTTTTGTTATCTAAAAAATGAATATATTTGATTAGTTCAGTACAATCGTAATGTATAATATAAAGTTATAATATAGTTATTTTGTGGTAAAGTATGACATTTGATAAACAGTTTACTATAATTGGGAGTCATTAGTGGATACCAAGCGATAAGAAATAGGAGATAATGTAATGATTGGATGCGAGGCGTGATAGAGGTTTGTTAGCTATAGTTTGGGTGATGTATCGATAATAACTATATTAATGGTGAATAATGTGCGCCAATAAACGTCTCAAATAATAAATCAAACACTAAATGAATTACTAATAAATACTTGAATCCAGTTTATATGGTTGTAAGTGTGTCACAGATATGAGCGGATATTAAGTTTTTGGAAATTCACATAACATTTAATGAATATTCTATTCATAAGTATTGTCCGACAAAACGAAAATCCATTTGTATTTGTGATGAATGACGAGATGTTATCAACAAATATTTATATAGCCTTTCCTCGACCCATATATTCTTACAAATATCACTCAATATTGTGTGACATTTAAAACAAATACAAGAGATTAATTACACGATACATACCATTCATTTGGTCAGTGCCTGTCTCAAAAGTGGTGGTCTTTGATGACTTGGGGAACCGGATCAGTGACATCGCCGGTCCCTTCAACGAAGACTCATCAGTCAACTTGACCTGTGATTCCGAAGGAGGTTTGGCACTACCTTTCCGTCCAAATTATTTCGTACCATAACTAGTAGTCTATTATTCAGGAAACCCGCCCCCAGTGGTGAAGTGGTGGAGGGGCTCGTCCATCGCCGATGAGAGCTATTTCACGACACCTAAAGGACTCATAAGAAATGTGATACAACTGCCAAAGCTGTCGAGGGACGACTTGATGACGGTATTGACCTGTCAGGCGTCCAACACTAACCTAACAGTGCCTGCGTCCCAGACCATTGCCATTGATCTCAATCGTAAGCAATTAAATCAATCGCTTTCATAATTAGTTTATTGTGTTTGCATTACATTTGCAATCAGTTTTATGGCAAATAATTAGCTAACAAATTGTATTTTGCATTCAATGGCGCCTATAGTGAAGCCAAAAGAAGTGCGAATCATAACACCGGCGCATAACATGTCGGCCGGGGATCGCGTGGAACTGGTCTGTCAGTCGAGCGGTTCGCGACCGCCGGCGAAGATTCAGTGGTCCAAAGGGTCGACACAAATGGAGAGCAGCGGCGAGAGTACGTCCGACGACGGCTCCGTTACCACCAATTTTCTGGCGTTCGTGCCTTCGGTCGAAGACAATGGGAAGCGACTCTCCTGTTCCGCCACTAATCCACAGTTTCCTGACTTCCAACTCCAAGACAATTGGACATTAAATGTCTTATGTATGAAATGTTTTCATTTATTCATTCCCTCCCCCATCCGGGGGCTTAATATCGGTGTTATTTATAGCGCATACAAACTGTTGACAAAAGCAAATCAATATTTAGCTATGATTTTCAGATAATTGATTGCAATCGCGAGTGAAACGCTATAACATATAGATTTTTATTGTAATTTATTTGTCTGTAATGTATATATCATTTCCAATGTACTGTACTTTTATTACTCTATTGTTATAAACGACTTCAATATTCCCAATACACAACAGACGCACCGCTTTTATCATTGATTTTGGGCGCCAGTATTCAACACCAGGAAATTCTTGAAGGCAGTGATGTATACTTCGAGTGCAATATACAAGTAAGTCATTCATCTACTCTACTAAGACATACCCTTCCCATTCGCACTGAAGGCATATACAGTGCACACAAAAAACGAGAAGTTATTCATTAAATTCTCATTTAATCCGGTTTTGAGAGTTCGGTGTTAAGCGAAATGTACTAATGATTGCACACTCGATGTGTTAGACATTATTTCTCGGCCTAAGATCTTATGTAAGCTTTCATTCATTGCTTTCATTGCATGTCAGGCGAACCCTCCGGTCACTGAAATCGGTTGGCTATACAACGAACAGCCGATGAGCTCCGAAATGAGGGCCGGAATTCAGGTGCGAAATAATTCGCTATTCATCCGCAATATCGGTGCCAAATCTCACAGAGGAAAGTACCAGTGCTTCGCTGTGAACAGCCAGGGAAAGGGCGAAAGTGAAGTCGTCAACCTCAAAGTCCAGTGTAAGTCCACCACATTTACTGCACTTATTATAGAGATTCTCCAGTTTTTATAGTTTTTTCATGTCATACCGTATTCTCTGTATTTAACAAAAGGAGTGAGAAAAAGAGGAAAATATATTTTTATTATGTAATAACAAAATGGTTTATTTCTATCTCTCTGAATAAAAAAAGTGACATAAAAATAGTTATCGACTTTTTTCTCTTTGCGAGTCAGTTGTAAATGGGTTTGAAATGTACTGAATGTTGAGAGAGAGAGAGAGAGAGAGAGAGAGAGAGAGAGAGAGACTTGCAGTAAGAAAAAGAGAGCAGAAATAAGTTCTTAACTTAATTTTGTTTCACATTTTATTCACTCGAATGCGTCCAACATTTCACTCTCACTCTCACACAGTATTTAGTGTTTCCACTGATTCTCTCCATTCAGACAGAGATTTATATTTATTATATAATTTCTGACCAATCATTACATTAATTCACTGCACAATCCATTTGCCACTAATCTATTCACTGGATGTCTCACTCATTGAACGGCACAGATCCGCCGATTTGCAAATCCGTTCAGAGAGTGCACTACGGAGTGGCCAAACACGAGGAGGCGAGGATCGAGTGCGAGGTGGACGCAGACCCCCACGAACTCGTCTTTCACTGGGCCTTCAATAACAGCGCCGACGAGAATCTCGATGTCATCTCATTCGTGAGTGAAGGCAAGAAGAGTTACGCCACTTATACCCCAAGAGTGGACTTGGATTACGGGCGGCTGTACTGTTGGGCGCAGAATAGCGCCGGTAGGCAACGAGAGCCCTGTGTCTTCTTTGTCATCGAAGCCGGTATTCAATTGATTGAGGGTTTAATTGATTTGAATTTTGGTTTTATTTTTTTTGTGTTTGTCTCAAAGGACCGCCCGATCCGCCCGACAACTGTTCGGTGACTAACATAACGATCCACTCCCTGACCATTGAATGCCTTCCCGGCTATTCGGGTGGTTTGGATCAGATCTTCTATTTGGAAGTGTTTAGCGCTAATCCGAACCGTATTTATGCGAACATGAGTTCACCAGAGTATCCCTTCTTCATCGCCCATGGATTGCCCACTGGAAGTGCTTTCCGATTGGTTTTGTATGCGACTAATACTAAGGGCAAGAGTAGGAGTATCGCGATGTCTGGCAGTACTCTACTCGCAGCTCAATGGCAATCAGGTAGTCATCGATGTAACCAATAATTTATTCATAAATATAATTTTGTTTGTTTCAGAAAATCTTTTGAGAAATAATTACTTTGAATATAAAATTTAGTGTATTTATTGATTGAAATTAATGGAAATTAGTTTTAGTTATTTTATTAGTTTTAATTTGTTTTAAATATCGCTAATTTTTTTGGGCGATTAAAATAATGTGTAGTGCAATGCACTGGAGTATAAATTCGGGGGAAAATTGAATCAATTATTTATTTATTTTTTAAACAGACTATAAAATGAAAGTAGATTTTTATCGACTCAATCGAGTTATCGTTTTTGCATTACTTTTAGTGTATATTTTCCGAATAGTTTGACGAATAGTTTATTTTTGAATAATTTTATTCGCTGTGAATGTAAGAAACTAATAGACGGATTGCTTTTAAATCATGTGTCACTCAACATAAAAATCGCATTTTATAAGTCCCTGCAATTCACGTCTGGATCCATTTCCCCTTAGACCAGAGCTGGATATAAATCACTCAAAAATTGTTTAAAAAATATTTCGGTAAATTCTCAGAAATTCTCACGAAAATGCACACAATTTTACATCCAGAGTCTTTTTTCCAGACCATTTAAATGGCTATTTAGTAGTTTTATTACCTTTTACTAAACTTTACAAACTTATTTATCAAATTGCTAATTTTTGAAAATTAATTAAAACTCAATTAATTTAGCAGTATTTACAGTAATTGACCTCTTTTTAGATGATCTGGAACCTATAGTAATTAGTCCACTGTTGGCTCTACTGATGGCAATCGTCGGTGTCTTAATATTATTGGCAATCATTATAATAATGATAATGAAATTCAAAGCTGAGGACAATTTGACGCAAAGTGAGTATTGACTGAAAACTCATCGATTCGTGTCTTAAATGTCTTGTAATTCAATTCCCTTCTAACAGATGCGGAAAAAATTGCCATTAATTCAATCAATCGCTCCAATCATATGTAAGAAAATGCTAATATTTCTATGAATTCTTGTATTTCCTGGATTAGGCTTATAATTAATTAATTAATTAATTATTCTGCATTTTGTATTTAATTAAAATTTTTCTTATATAGTAAGGGCTCAAAAGCGGCGAACCGTAAACTCTATACTATGGACGACAACTGTCCCGATATTATACTCTCCGATATGATTATCAACACAAAAGGTATGATTAAAATTGCAAAACAATTTAGAAACAACACTACAAATTAGAAAATACAATTTAAACAAATTGGTCTTGCTTAAACACAAAAACAATTGATTGGCTGTCAGTTGAATAGAAATAAATGACTTTTATATACAGATTGTGTTAATGTATTGATTTTGACATTACATTCGCAGAGAACAACACCATTGATGGCAATCACATAAAGACTACATGTTTTATAAGCGACAAAACCTCTTCACTTATCGTCCCTCCGCCCGACTCTTTCCACGACAAATATGACCCAAATCTGTACAACAATGGAGTCATCGACACCACACTGACCACAACCACCACACAAGACATGTCATCTCCCAGTCCCTCGACCTCCACGCTCACCAACAGCACCGACCCGTTACGCCTACTCTGTAACATCAAGCACAATCACACCATCAATGTATGCATCCGTTTCGAGACACAACCCATTTGAACGGCTAATTAATTGTCGTTTTTATATTCACTTATCTCTTCATTGCATTCAATTTGACATTTGATTAATTGCTGTTTTCGTATCATTTTTCTCACTCTCTTTCTCTCGCATCCCTTTCCCACTAATGTCTGGTTGTCATCACTGAAGACGAATAATCGCATGACTTATACGGAAATAATACTTCCAAACGACGATCACATGGATTGGGAGAAGAAGATGATTGGCATGAATAACATCAATGAGATTCACGTCGACTACAGGCGTCAGTCGCAGTCACCGCACGTCTTGATCAGCGCTAAAGTCGACCGAAATATGGGATCCATATCCAGACGATCCGACCAGACCTCCGATGAGGACACCATTAGTGTCGTTACCTCTAATACACCGCCAATTATGGCCATGAATGCCAAGAATGATAGCACAACAGTTCAGTCTATTTCTTATGATAACTATTATGATTTGTTTGATTAGTTTTCAAGATTTAACATTTTTCCGTTTGCTTTTCAGTGGGTTATTATGGATAACGACAGCACAGACTACCCAACAGTTGTCTAAAAAAGTTTTCCGATCTTCACATTTGGTGACCATTTGATGGCAAACCATACGAATAGCTTTGTATTAATGTCTGTAAACATAGAGATGGATGACTCGAATGAGACAATGAATTAAATGAATTAAAAATTCATGTCATTTACGCGTATATTGAGAACCTAAGTGTCCTTTTATTGAAACACAAATTCATGTGAAAATAATATCAGAATTTTTATATTAATTTTTATTATACGTTTAAACTAAACAAAATTGAAACAGACTTTAATTATGTAACACTTTATTAATACTGAAATTAGTTGTATCAATAATGAATCTACTTATAAAATAATTTAATTTTTTATGAGACAAATAAAAGTGAATTTTCTTAACAAAAGTCTTATTTTTAAGAGAGAGAGAGAAAGAGAGAGAGAGAGAGAGAGAGAGCATAGAGAGAGCATAGAAAGAGCACAGAGAGAGCACAGAGTAGAGTCAAAAGTAAACAAAAAGTATACTTACATTTGATTTGTGTATTTAATTAAATAAATGAATGTATGGTTGAAAGGAGTGCTGAATTCAATTCGTTCGCCACAAGAGTTTTGCCATACATTTGGCAAATGTATTGAAGAGTTAAACCTAAATCTCGATAACACTTTGCGATTCCGTTCCCTATATTCTACACATATTTATATGTAGAGTGTATTGTGTGTATAATTGGGTTCAGTTAAGTCACCATTAATGATATACTTTTTATATATCCGAAAAATTATTTTATAAAAACGGAAAAATTTTTGATATAATTATAATACAGTTATAAACATAAAAATGAGAAAATAAAAAATAAAATAATGATTACACACTATAATTTCAGGGTTTAATCAGCAAAATATTAAAAGGTTTAACAAATTCACAGGAAACATAGATTAAAACTATTGCATAAACTGAAAAATGTTATATAAAACTCATTATTTGATTGTATTATATAAAATACTTGTGCTGAATCGGATTTATCATAACCATTTAGAGCACGTATTTAAAAGTGATTTTAAAAATCTAATAAACAAAGGTTAATGCATATCAAAACAATGTTTGTTTAATCTAATTTTATAAATTTTATTATAGTTACCGATGTGAGATATTATATTAAATAATTTTACTGCATTAACTTTATGAATTAATTGCTATCAAAAATATGCAAATAATTTATGTTATATGCTGTAAATCGGTTTCAATTTCAAACACTTAAGCTTTCAATAAAGCTTTCAATAAAGCTTTCATTCAAATGTTAATTCATTCAAACAGTTATTTTTAATTTTCTCATTCAATGTAATTTGATGTGAAAAAATGTCAAACAAAATGCAAATCAAAGCAAATATAATAAATTCATTAAAACTTATGATATTGTATATAAGAAATAAAGTTTAAATTAATGCATTTAAAATTAAATAATGTTTTGAATGATTATAATATTAAATTTTTATTTCACAAAATATCTTTAAAATATAGACATTTGAATAAGGCAAATATTTGCTGCAAAAACTAATAATTTACTAATAAATAATTTAAATACTCTTTATAATACAATACAATAAGATTTGAATAATCCATTCAATATTATCTTGAAAAATATAATTATAGAAAGTATTTTAAACTATAAAAGAGATATAATTCAAAGACATTGAATATGTCTAAAAATAGACTGACATTTCAAAAAGTTAGCAAATAATACGAAACTCTTTTCATGAATTCTTGTACTTTTATTATAAAGTTGATTCAACACAAAAAAATATAAAACAGATATCAAATGAACACATTTTTCCAGTTCATTAAAATCATTTTGTAGCCTGAACAAAATAATCGTATATTTTTGGCAAAACTATTTTAGTTTACCTAAATTATAGCATTATTTAAGTTAGAAATTTAGTTCAAACGATTCTCAATACTAAATCTATTTCACTGTAATATAAATCAATTAATATTCATTATTATTAAATAAAGCATTCATTCATAATTAATCAAATCATAGAAATGGAATTTATTTATATTTTTTGTTATAATTTATATTTATATATAGAATTTGAATAATTATATTACATAATCTGTTTAATTATACGAAAGTAGTTATAGACTATATAATTATATATTATAAATGAATTTATATATAAGAAATTGATGGCAACAGCGATCAGACACTTTCCAGTGACCAGAACTGGTCGTCCAGTAGTGATAATATTACCTGAAATGGGGGACAAGAGTAGGGGGAGTGGAGGGGCGTAATGGAGGTCAGGGATAATGTTTGAAGGAATTGGTGGTAAAGAGAGTGTGAAAAACAGATTATTAAAGTAAATTGATTTTCAAAATATAGCTATTATTATAAAATTAGTAATAAGTGGTTGTAATTAGTTTTGTGCGAGTATTTAGGTGGTGGTGCACAGGTTGTGGTGCTGGTGGTGGTGCTCAGAGTAATTGTGATGGTTGTGATCCACATTCGCATCCATTTCCATTGCAACACTCAATCAATAATCAGAATCAGTTGATGGCAGCGAAAGTCAACTATAACCAGGATATCGGTGACAGGCGATGGATAGCACGGGGATTATAGTCTCAACAACACCAGTGGGACATAGGGTAGACCCCATAACAGGAATGTGCTCTATAGACTAACTTTTTACTTAATACAATGTGGATGTCCAATGAGTAGCCTTTGCCAAGTGATAACAATTGAATTGTTAAAATTATATATACTATATACTATAATTTATATACTGTATATATAAATTTTAAAATACTAAATTATATTTTTATATTTATAACTTGTAAATTACAAGTAATATTAACCTATTTTGTAATTTACTACAAATTAAATTTTCAATTTATTTGTTCTTTATCACGTGAGTGTGTTTTGAAATAAAATTAAACATTTTTGCAACAAACCGAATAATAAGTTATAAAATAATGTAATACTAAATTCATATCCTGCAAATTGGCACCAATTTTTATTATTATGTCATATTATTTTTAAAATATGACAAAGGTTACAAAGTAAACATTTTTATTAGGCACTCTAGGGTGGGGACACCCTTTAGCCACTTGAATATACATGCTATAGCAACCTGCCTGTCCCACAGACACATAGATTTATTTGCCACTCACCGCACGGAAGTCTCTATTTTTCAAAACTCTGGAGACAAATGTCTCACAATTTTTTGTATTTAAGACAAATACGATACAAAAGTCTCATATATTGTGCAAAGCAGTCAATGATTACCTAAAATATAAATATTTTTATAATTATGATTTATTTAATACTACTTAAATACTAATTACTACTAACTAATAGTGATAATAATGAACACAAATTAATAATTAGAAATAATAGAATTAATACATTTTATATTAATTTATTTATTTATTTTTATCATTAGTTTTTGATTTAATAATTAGTTTTCTAATTAACCTATAATTATACATTTCCCAAAAAAATATTTATAATCTTAATACTTATTTATATTATAATTCAAGTTAATATTATACACTCAATTTGCAATTAGAAATACAAATATACATTATACTGTATATTGTACAAATTATTATAACAAATACTTTAATGTTTGTCCCATTGTCCGGTAATTTACTTATTAGTAAATATTAATCATTTTATTATATTTGTCTGATATTTTATTGATTGAGTAAAACTAATGTTAAGTCATAAATTGAATGTCAATTTAAAATAATTGAATTGTCGTGTGTTTTGTTATAGTAATTGATTTAACATTATTTTCTAAAGCTTTCCCAAAACTTCTATCGGATTATAAGCCTTTTCTATTGAGTGACTCGTTTTTATAAGTAATTTATACAATTTTGCAACATATTATATGCAATTTATTTTAACAAATTAGTGTACACCCATTTCATGTTGAATATTGTCTTCCATTATAGCGGGAGTTGACGGTATAAAATAATTCCTGAGTATAACAATTGCTATACTATTGTATACTGTTTATATATAAGATAAATATATTGTGAAAAGTGCTGATATTGTATGACAAATCATTATAACGATGTGTGTGTGTGTGTGTGTGTGTGTGTGTAATAAATAAATTGAATATTTTCTAACACCTGAACATTGAGTAGTTTTTAGCAAATTATTTGCAACTAAATAAATGTAAGGGAGGGTTGGGTTCATAGAATTTATATTTACTGAGAATCCTTGAAATGAATGACTCTTTGTCCGCAATTTTGTTGAAAAATACTGATTACTACAGCAATTCCTTCACTAACTTATATTATAGGGTCTGATGTAACCCTTCACACACTTCTTAACATCTATGGGCTAACTGTGCCATCAATTCCTACAAAATAGTATTCAATGTTTTTAGCATCAAGTACTTTGGTTAGACAAAACATCTCGTATTTTTATAAACTAAGTTTCAGTATATTTATCCAGTACAGTGCATCATATAAAATTCACATTGAATTTCTATATATTCTTAAAATAAATATATATACAAATACAATTAATTAAAACTAAACAGCAGATTGTTATTCATCAAATGGATATTGATATTTGTGATAATACATTTTCTACATAATATTACCAACAATTTTCAATAATAAAAGAATCCGCATGGCCACAATTAGTATTTTATATTTAACAATAATTAGCATGGGACATCAGAATTTGCCTATATTTTAACATTATTAATAATGAGAATTGATTCAAATTTTCTAATTGTTTGCTTTCAATGTGTTGTCATTTCATCGTAAAAACTATTTAATGTTTGCATTTAATTGAAATCATGTTAACTAAAATTAATATCTTTCAATTGTTTTGTATTCACAAATAAATTTATTAAATAAAAGTCTTATGTGGACAGGGATTGCAATCTGATTTTTTTCTCATAACTATTAAACACACGATTCCCAGTAATGGAAGGGGAAAT